GGAAGGAGGAAGGAGGGAGGGAGGGAGGGAGGAAGGAAGGAGGGAGGGAGGGAAGGAGGGAGGGAGGGAAGGAAGCTGGCGGAATTAGCAGGGCAATCCTAAGCAGTGCTGCCCTTTCCAGCCCAATAACTTCAGTGGACTGAGAAGGGAGTTAACTCCACTTAGGATGGCACTGTGGGTCTTTGCAGGCTCCTGCTTGTTAGTTATGCACCTGAAAGGCACAAGTAACAAGTAAAGAAAATGGGACAAAACAGAGAAAGATGAGACAAGTCACGTGAGAGAAGGGTTACTGTTATTTTTCTACTGGGGTTAACTCCATCGAACCTCCATGCTCAGAAGAAGTCTATCTCCCATCAACAGGTGGTGGGGATTTCCCTTGGGTGTCCTACCGGCCACTAGCAGAGATGGACGTCCGGAGAGGATGAGACGCCGGCAGAGGAAGTTTCACCCTGCTTCTTAATTCCTAACAGGTAACCTGAGGCAAGGCCTTAAGGCCGATTGGTTTGGGCAGGATGCTGCTCGTGTGAACACTCACCAGGAGTATCTTGTTCAATTAGGTGGAGACTCGGACAGTGTCTGCCTTTGGCAATGGTGGTACGGATGGGTATTTCAAGAGCATGGTGCCTGCTCGGGCTGACCCTGGTTCTAACCTCTGCGGAGGACTTCTCCTGGACTAGGCAGAGTCCCGGCTCCTTCTATTACAGCACTTTCCCCAAAGGTGATCTTTCCTGTTTAGCTGGTTTGGGAGAGATTGTGGAGTCATCAGGCTGCGGGGCCGTAGCGTTCACAGATGCACCTTTAGCTTGTCGTTGTTGTTCGGTCACACAGTCGAGTTCGACTAATCGCGACCCCATGGACCACATCACGCCAGGCCCTCCTGTCTTCCGCCGTCTTCCGGAGTTTGCTTAATTTCATGTCCGTTGCCTCGATGACAGTCTGACCATCTCATCCTTTGCCGTCCCCGTCTTCTTTGACCTTCAGTCTTTCCTTTAGCTCAGATCTCTCTAAACTGAAATCTTAGCCGAGGTTACCCGAACTCCATCCCAGAAAGCAGGAATTCTGCGACCTTTGTAACTCTATTCTTTACTTCATCTGTACCTCACCTTTCCCTCCAATTGAGATCCAAGGCAGCTTACACGTTCTCCTTTCCTCCATTTTCTCCTCACAACACCCTTGTGAGGTAGGTTAGGCTGAGAGTGTAAGACTAGCCCAAGGTCACCCCGACAGCTTCTGTGGTAGTGTGGGAATTCGAACCTGGGCCTCCCAGATCCAAGCCTGACACTCTAACCACTATGCAAGGATACCTTCTGCAACAGACCCCATTTGGAAACACTAATCATCTTTCCCCCAAAAGACCCCTTGCTTGTCTCTCTCTCGTGTCTCTCTGAGACCCAGTTTGGTGTAGTGGTTAAGTACGCGGACTCTAATCTGGGAGAACCGGGTTTGATTCCCCACTCCTCCATTTGCACCTGCTGGATGACCTTGGGCAAGCCATAGTTCTGGCACAGCTGTTCTCGAAAAAGAGCAGTTTCTTTCAGAGCTCTCTCAGCCCCACCGCCTCACAGGGTGTCTGTTGTGGGGAGGGGAAGGGAAAGGAGTTTGTAAGCCGCTCTGAGACTCCTTTGGGGAGTGAAGGGCGGTGTATAAATCCAAACTCTTCTTCTTCTTTTTTTCTCCCCTTCCCCAGAGTATCAGACGAGAGAATTGATAAATGTGGAAGTCCATCTAAGATCACCTCTTGCAAATTAGGCTATCGCACGCAGCACTGAACACAAACACTTGCCTGCTAGTAGAAAGACCTCAGTGGACACTACTCTGAAAAACCAAAATAACAGCTACCTGGATAAGCGATGAATTGATCGCCATAGGGTAACTGTTATTTTGGCTGCCTCGGACGAACCTGGCTAACACCCAGGAATAACTCTGAAAAGGGGGTAATGCTGAAACAGGATGTAGGGATACGTCTTGCAGTTTCACCAAAGATTATTTTTTTGGAAGGCCATTGTTTCCTTTTCTACCGTCATCTTTGTTCAATATCTTCAGGGTTCCTTTGGGGCGTCGGAAGTTCAGCCTGCCAAACGGAAGGTGCTTGGGACAAAGCCGGGAAAGGCCCGAGTATCTGGGACGCTTTTGGGCACCAGGGGGGAAAGGTGTTCATGAACCACACAGCAGACTCGGCATGTGAAAGCTACCATAAGATTAAGGTGAGATGAGCACTCGTTTTTGCAGCCAGGGGATAAACATATTGATCTGCAGCAAATCTGAGATCGAGATTGGCTAGGAGGATGCTGACTTAGCATGGCAAATTTCAATCTGAAGCAAGAGTTTTAGAATATTTTTTTTTAACAAATTAAAGTTTTCCACCGTCGATTTCCTTCTTCTAGGACGATATCCAGCTACTGAAAGAACTGAAGGTCAACCACTATTCGTTTTCTATTTCCTGGCCCCGTGTGCTGCCCACAGGCATTAAATGTAAGCAAAATGCTGGCCGATATTTCCCCACAATTGAATATATGGCAATCAGACCGTCTTCTGTGAAAAATCAGATTGCTTGGAGCAAGTGATTTAATCTGGCCCCACATTATAGCAACACCCAAGCTTGCCTAGGCACCAAGGGAAGGGGAGAGAGGAATGTGTTGATGTGCTGGCCACGTAATTTTAAAATTGCAATTTTCATGGCAAGGGTCTAAAGAACCATGTAACTCGTTCTGCGAGCCCCAGGGAATGTGTGTGTGTGTGTGTTAGCATGTTGCTGAAACATGATGCAGACACACCCACTGCTTCTTGCCAAACCACTTGACGCTGGAAGAGGTTCAAGAAGTAGTACGTGACACGGAAGGTAGATGGTTAATGAAAGTCTGCAGCTCTTTGGATCCTGACCCATTTGTTTGGGGTTTTTTTTTAATCTAAATGTCAATAGGGAGTTGAGATACTCTCTGGTCTTTGATTTCAGAGGTTGGTCTGCAGTACAACGGTTGGATTTGGTTCCCTAGAGGCCAACAAGGTTTGGGGGTGGGGGGTTAGGAGATTTCAAGAGTTCAAAGTTGTCTTCATCAGATAGCCGTGTTGGTCTACAGTAGAACACTAGATTTGAGACAAAGAGCACCTTTGGTGTAGTAGAGCCAGTTTGGTGTAGTGGTTAAGTGTACAGACTCCAATCTGGGAGAACCGGGTTTGATTCCCCACTCCTCCACTTGCACCTGGCTGGATGACCTTGGGCAAGCCGTAGTTCTGATAAGAGCTGTTCTTGAAAAAGAGCAGTTTCAGTCAAGAGCTCTCTCAGCCCCACCTACCTCACAGGGTGTCTGTTGTGGGGAGGGGAAGGGAAAGGAGATTGTAAGCCACTCTGAGACATCTTTGGGTAGTGAAGGGTGGGGTATAAATCCAATCTCCTCTCTTCCTCCTCCTCCTCCACTTGCACCTGCTGGATGACCTTGGGCAAGCCATAGTTCTGGTCAGAGCTGTTCTCTCAAGGACAGTTCTGAAAAGACCTCTCTCAGCCCTACCTACCTCACAGGGTGCCTGTTGCGGGGAGGGGAGGAGAGGGGAAGGGAAAGGAGTCTGTAAGCCGCTCTGAGACGCCGAGTGAAGGGCAGGGTATAAATCCAATCTCTTCTCATCTCTTCTTATAAAACAAGGTTTCCTGGGTATGAGTTTTTACTCTTGAAAGCATAAATTTTGGTATCTTAAGCACCTTGAATCGAGTTGTTCTCCGGTCTTTGTTTTTACAGCAGAGAAAGTCAACAAGGAAGGCCTAGGATTCTACAATGATACGATCAACGCTTTATTGGCAAACAAGATCATTCCCATTGTAACCCTCTACTACTGGGATCTGCCACAGGTGTGAACAAAGCTATTCCTCCAATGTCAACTGACTTGGGTGGGTGGGAGGGGCAACAGCCATTGTTCATAAACCAGAAGGGAACGGCAGATGTTCAGCCGAAGTCCCATGCGTGACTTTTCTAAGTGTTTGTGCTTACAGGCTCTTCAACAAAAATATGGCGGCTGGCAGAACATAAGCATGACACGTTATTTTAAGGATTATGCAGACCTGTGCTTTGAGAGCTTCGGGGACCGCGTGAAACACTGGATTACTTTTAACAACCCTTGGGTAAGTCACTGCTTCCGATGGGTTTGCCCTCCCAATGCAAGAACTTAGAGCAGTGATGGCGAACCTTTTAGAGACCGAGTGCCCAAACTGCGACCCAAAACCCACTTTATTTATCGCAAAGTCCCAACACGGCAATTTAACCTGATTACTGAGGTTTTACTTTAGAAAAAACAACTCATACATTAACTTAAGATGATTCAAACAAAGTAAGGAAAGCAATCCCAAATGCTTTCATTTATTTTAAATTATTTGGCAGAGAATTCGACACTTTAATGATGGTCTGGGGCCTGGCTGGGGCGATGGCATGTGTGCCCACAGAGAGGGCTCTGAATGCCATAGGTTCGCCACCACTGACTTAGAGCAACTGAAGAACCAGGCAAATGGATCTATGTGACTGGGTGTGCATGTGTCACAGTTGTACTTCTCGAATGGCAGCTCCTCCCCCAACATAGCCCACAATGCCATTCAGTTGTGACACAGGAGAGGGTTTCGGTTCCATGGCACTCCTTACAGGGGGGTTACTGTTCAAGTCTGAAAAGCCTAATATTCCAGGGGATTGTCTAGACCTTGGGCAAGTCTTAAACAGCACTTTCGACTGGCCCAAAAATGTATATTGTTAAGCCAGTTTGGTGTAGTGGTTAAGAGCAGCGGACTCTAATCTGGGAGAACCGGGTTTGATTCCCCACTCCTCCACATGCAGCCAGCTGGGTGACCCTGGGTCAGTCACAGTCCTCTCAGAGCTCTCTCAACCCCACCTACCTCACAGGGTGTCTGTGTTGTGGGGAGAGGGAGGGAAGGAGACTGTAACCCACTCTGAGACTCCGAGTGAAGGGCAGGGTATAAATCCAGTCTCTCCTTACCTGTACGGAAGGCCCATTGAAAAAAACGGGGACTTGGAAATCAGATAGAACACCAAATAGAGAAGAATTAACTATGAAAATGATGGAAATAAAAGAAATGGATAAAATAAATTTGATATTAGTTGGGAAAGAAGAAAATGTGCATCAAAAAAGATGGCAAAATGTAGATAGATGGATGAAAAAAAATCTGTAATGTTAACTCCATAATATGTGATAGATTGTGGTTTGTGGGGTTTTTTGTAATGGAAAATGATAAATAATATATATATATTAAAAAAAGAAAGAAAAAACGGGGACTTACTTTGGAGTAAACATGCACAGACTTGGACTGTGTGTTTTATGTCAAAAGTTTGGGTGAATGTACAATGTAGCATGGCCCTTCCGCACTTTGATTCGATAACTTGGTATGTGGTGCCCTTTCTCCAACCGTGCAGAATTACCAAAATGCACACCTCATGTTTCCCAGGCAATTGCTGAAGAGGGGTATGAAACAGGGCGGCACGCGCCAGGCCAGAAGCTGGGCTCGGGTGGCGCTTATAAAGCAGCACATCACATAATCAAGGTAAAAAAAAAAACACAACACCCTCTGAATTGCCATCAAACAAGGATCGTGGGCTGGATTCATGTTACCGCGAGTGCCCCACACACACGTGTAAGGAGGAACAATGTGAGCTGGGGAGAATTATGTGTTTCCTTTGAGGTGATGCTGTGATGCTGGAAGCATATCGTTCTAACAAGCTAAAAGGTTCTTTGCAGACAGTGCCCATGTGGCAAGAGAGCCACGGTCCCCTTTCTCCAGAACCCCATTCCAGTAGGGGCAACACCTGGTCCCTGCCCTTCCAGCGCTGGATATCTGGGCATCCACTCACCAGGCTGGGAACAGTCCCTTTCCTATAGGGCTTCCTCATATTATAACGATGTGTCCCTCTGAAGCATTAGATGATGTCCGTGATCGCAAAGTTTCCCATCTGCATTGACAAAAACATCCCAAGGCTTAGTGGTAGAGCATGCAGATGGTCCCAGGTTCTGGCATCTCCAGTTAAAAGGACCAGGCAGGAGGTGATGGGAAAGACCTCCGCCTGAGACCCTGGAGAGCTGTCAAGAGGAGCTGTGGCCCAGTGGCAGAGCATCTGCTTGGCATGCAGAAGGTCCCAGGTTCAATCCCCGGCATCTCCAGTTTAAAGGACCAGGTGGGAGGTGATATGAAAGACCTCTGCCTGAGACCCTGGAGTGCTGTAGAGAGGGGCCATGGCTCAGTGGAACACCCTATGCTTGGCACGCAGGAGGTCCCAGGTTCAATCCCCAGCACCTTCTGGACCACAAATTATTATCAGTGAAATATCATTTGGCATATGATTGGATCTTGGGAGGCCTCATTTAGACTTTCATTGTATGCCTAGTAATTCCACTCTGGAACAATTCCTTTCTGGCCCATTTTGTATCCATGCTATACAATTGTCTTGTGTTATGGTATAAGGCAATTTGTTCCTCATTGTATTTGACCTTTGAAGAAGGCCCTAGCAGGCCGAAATGCGTCAGGTCAAGTTCATTGGCCTCGGTGTATTTTGGGATTTTTACATGAGGTGTGATTGGGCCCCTATGTCTTTTAATTCTTTACAAATAAATACACGTATTTTCACATATTATTTATAGATTAAGTTTTAATTGTTGGTCCTCTACTGAGTCGGATTCTGTGTAAGGCAGCTTGATGCATTCGCGACTGTATTCACTGCTTCTTGCTCATCGGCCACGTCTCCCCGCAGGCTCATGCGGATGTGTGGCACTCTTATCAAAAGAAATGGCGCCGTCAGCAACAAGGTAAGCGTCCGCAGTGCGGCCACAAAGAAAACAGCTCTGTTTCGGGATGAGGTGCCTCCCAGGTGGATCACTGACGCCCTGTGTGCCCCTTTGTTTTAAGGCCTGGTGGGGATCTCTTTACACAGCGCCTGGGGGGAACCCGTTGACCTGAGCAGCAAGACCGATGTTGAAGTAGCGGAGAGGTACATGCAGTTTTCCCTGGGATGGTTTGCCAATCCGCTCTACCACGGAGACTATCCCGGAGTTATGAAGGAGTATGTAGGTAAGTCACGGCAGGTGTGTGTGTGTGTGTGTGGTATTTATAGTGGCTTTTTAAAATCATGATGTAGGCAAAAGGAGAGTGACGGGGTATATTTTAGTGCGGATTTAGCTACCCCATGATAGATTCTGGTGGCAGCAATGCTCTGAAATCCTAACTCAGGGGTCCCCCAACGTGGTGCCCGGGGCATCATGGCCCCTGCTGAGTGTTTTTAGAAGTCGGCTGGGCCAGATTGGGCTTTTGCAGGACAAGGCTTCCGAGTGGCCGTCGGAGATTTGATTGGCCACACAGCTTTTTAAAAAATGTTGCTTTGGAAGGTAAGCTGCGGCAGCCATTTTGTGGCTGGCTCCGTCTCCTGCGGCAGCCATTTCGTGGCTGTGCCCACCATGCTGTGCCAGAGTCCCAAAAGTGACCACAGGATAAGAAGATAAGAGAAGCCAATGTTGGATCAGGCTAATGGCTCGTCCAGTCCGACACACAGTGGCCAGAAATACCAGGTGCCATCAGGAGGTCCACCAGTGGGGCCAGGAGACTAGAACCCCTCCCACTGTTGCCCCCCCCCAAGCACCAAGAATACAGTGCATTACTTGTCCCAGACATAAGAACAGCAGAAAAGCCATGTTGGATCAGGCCAATGACCCATCCAGGTCGTGTGATACAGTGGTCAAAACCCAGGAGCCATTAGGAGGTCCACCAGCAAGACCAGAATTCCAAAAGCCCTCCCACTGTTGCCCCCCAAGCGCCAAGAACACAGAGCATCATTGCCCCAGACATAAGAATGTAACAGAAGCCAATGTTGGATCGGGCCAATGGCCCATCCAGTCCAACACTCTGTGTCACACAGTGGCCAAAAACACCGGGTGCCATCAGGAGGTCCAGCAGTGGGGCCAGGACACTAGAAGCCCTCCCACTGTTGCCTGATCCCCCAAACACCAAGGATACAGAGCATCCCTTGCCCCAGACTGAGAGTTCCTATCTATACCTTGTGGTTAAGAGGCACTGATGGACCTCTGCTCCGTATGTTTATACAATTCCCTCTTGAAGCCGTCCATGCTTGTAGCTGCCGCCACCTCCTGTGGCAGTGAACTCCATGTGTTAATCGCTCTTTGGGTGAAGGACTTCCTTTTATCCGTTCTAACCCGACTGCTCAGCAGTTTCATTGAGTGCCCACGAGTTCTTGTATTGTGATGAAAGAGACTGGGGACCCCTGTTCAACCTCATCAACCTACTAGAGATACCTGTTCTGAAGCTGCTGCAGGACTTTAACCGCAGTACTTCTCATGGCAGTCTACTATAGTTAGTAGCTCCAACTAGTGGCAGCTTGAGAGAGTACTTAAGTACTATTCATTTAGCCCTTTGCACTCTGAAGTTCAGAAGGACTACCTGGTGAGGCATTCACGACTCAGCAGAAAGGACAGATGACTACTGAAAATTTTGGCCGTGGCGTAGATGCTGTGATTCGGACAGCCGCTACTCCCAAGCCACACTGCAAGGTCATTTCAGAGGCCCGTTACAAGCATTAAATGCTTTTTCTCTTCTACATTTTGCCTGGATAGGTAAAAAGAGCACCGAACAAGGAATACCATCAAGACTCCCAGCTTTTTCAGTGCAGGAGAAAAACTACGTTAAAGGCACCGTGGACTTCCTGGGAATCAGTCATTTCACTACCTATTACATTTCCCAGAAGAGCCACGCCCCTCCGGGATTGAGTTATTTCACCGATCGCAACTTGGTGGAATTGGTGGACCCCAAGTGGCCCGAGTCCGGCTCCAAGTGGCTATATTCTGTGCCCTGGGGCTTCCGGAGGTTACTCAACTTTGTCAAGGTAACTTGGGCTTCTTTAGTTGAAGGGTCTTTGTTGCTCTTTTCAGGGCAAGCTTTTGTCTTAAGGTGGAAGTACCTTCTGATGTCATGGCATGTCAGAGCTTGATTCAAACGCGTGTTCCTTACACAAAGACTTGAAGGACAGTCTCCTCCCACACTGTCCAGCCCATCAGTAGAGACCTTCTTCTCAAGCTTTCCCCTCTCTGCCTCCAACAAGAACAGGGATTTTTCAGTGGTGGCACCTCACTTTTGGAATGCCCCCTCCCGAGGCTAGCCTGGCACCTACGTGACTGTCTTTTAAGTGCCACCCGAAAACACTGCTCTTTACGCAGGCTTTTTACCAATGGGTCCTTTTCCTGGCTGTTTTAGGGCTTGCGCCTAGCCTGAGAACAGTCCTACCTACCATTCTAGACCAATGCTCCCTCTAAGCTGTGGAGTCTTGTGAGCAAAGATTCTACTTTGTGAGCGGCTGGCATTAAAGCTGTGAGCGAGCAATTTGGCTACAGCATAAATGAGTTTGCTCTGTAGCCATCCTTCCTGAGCTAAGACAAGAATGTGTGAGCTGAGGGCTAAAAAAACTGTGAGCCAGCTCACACTAACTCAGCTTAGAGGGAACACGATTCGAGACAGTGCCATTTTTTGTTTTTTATGCCTTGGCTTGCTTTTATTGACTGTTTTTTTAATGGCTTGGATTGTTGTCATGACGTTTTTATTGGTATGGTGTGTTTTTATCGTCTGCTTGGCTTTATTTTATTGGTATGAGCCACCTCAAACAGATCCGCATAGGTGACATACACATTTTCTAAATGAAGTGGCTGCAACTCCAAAAAGCTGACTTGCATCTGAAGTAGCACCATTTCATTACCATCTTACTTCATTACGGTTTTGCAGCGTAAAAAGTTCCACATTCACCTGCTAGTCAGCCACTGTCACGGAACCAAGTAATGTTACATACATGGACAACAAGCCAGGATGTACGGCTGCCTTCTCGGAGGATGGCTGGGCCTGTAATTTCATGATAAAAGGCTCTCAGAAAAATAAAACAAAGTTTGAGTCCAGTGGCACCTTTAAGACCAACCAAGTTTAATTCTGGGTATAAGCTTTCATGTGTATGCACACGAAAGCTTGTTGTTGTTGTTCAGTCGCACAGTCGAGTCCGACTCTTCGCGACCTCATGGACCAGCTCCCGCCAGGCCCTCCTGTCTTCCGCCGTCCTCCGAAGTTGGCTCAATTTCATGTTCGTTGCATCGATGACACTGTCTAACCATCTCATCCTTTGCCGTCCCCGTCTTCTTTGACCTTCAATCTTTCCCAGCATCAGGGTCTTCTCCAGGGAGTGCTCCCTTCTCATTGGGTGGCCAAAGTATTTGAGCTTCAGTTTCATTATATGGCCTTCCAGGGAACAGTCAGGGTTGATTTCCTTTAGGATTGACTGATTTGATCTTCTTGCAGTCCAAGGGACTCTCAAGAGTCTTCTCCAGCACCATAGTTCAAAAGAATCTATTCTTCGGCGCTCGGCCTTCCTTATACTCCAGATCTCACAGCCATACATGACTACTAGGAATACCATTGCTTTGACCATGCAGACTTTTGTTGGCAGGGTGATGTCTCTACCTTTTATCATACTGTTTAGGTTTGCCATCGCTTTCCTCCCAAGGAGCAGGCGTCTTTTAATTTCATGGCTGTTGTCACAGTCTGCGGTGATCTGGGATCCCAGGAACGAAAGCTTATACCCAGAATTGAACTTGGTTGGTCTTAAAGGTGTTGCTGGACTCACACATTGCCCTGTTGCTTCGCAACAACACGGTGACCCGCCTGAATCTCTCTCTCTCTCTAAAAAAAAAAAAGACGGTCTCACAATCGCAATTGCAGTTTAGAGACCCACCCTAAGGAGGGCAATTATGAATGATCGTCCCGTTGATATGTGGTAAGAGTTTTGGATGCCAGTCAGTGTTCCCTCTAAGCTGAGCCAGTGTGAGCCAGCTCACAGTTTTTTAGCCTCTGGCTCACACATTTCTATCTTCGCACAGGAAGCATGGCTCCAGAGCAAACTAATTTATGCAGTAGCCAAATCATCTGTTCACAACTTTAATGCCAGTAGCTCATAAAGTAGATTTTTTGCTCACAAGACTCCACGGCTTAGAGAGAACATAAGTTTCTAGTTGATGGTCCACTCACATCCAGTGATTTCATCTCATGTTAGAAGTACATTTGGTACCCACACCAGTTGCAACGAAGCATCAGAACAGATTATTTGAGCCAAATCTGCATCCTCTTCAGTATGCAACCAACTGTGAAGATCGTTTTAGACCGCAGCTGTGCTGGTCTGCAGTACAGCAGCTGCATTCAATTCCATTCACATCTTGAAGACCAACAACGGTTTGGGGGGTTTAAGCTTTCAAGAACTCCCTTTGTCAGATACCAGCAATGAAGTTCTCTCTCTTTGTCTCCAGGTACAATACGGAAACCCGCTAATTTATGTGACGGAGAATGGCATCTCGGAAAAGTTGCCATGTGCTCAGCTATGTGACGACTGGAGAATAGACTATTTAAAGGGGTACATTAATGAGATGCTAAAAGGTGAAATTTAACTTAACTAATCGAATACGTCCACACGGGTCCTCCTATCATTATCCCAGTTAATGAAAGAACCTTTTATCCCCCCAGCCATTAAGGACGGTGTTAACGTCCAGGGCTACACGGCATGGTCTCTGCTGGATAAATTTGAATGGAACCGAGGCTACTCTGAGAGATTTGGACTCTATTACGTTGATTTTCAAAACCTGAACAAACCCCGATATCCAAAAGCATCCGTTCACTATTATAAGAAAATCATCAAAGCGAATGGGTTTCCTAATGCGAAGGAGGTAAGGCGGCTTACTGCTAATTTGTGCTTGAGAGCCAGTTTGGTGTAGTGGTTTGGAGCGCAGACCCTAATCTGGGAAAACTGGGTTTGATTCCCCACTCCTCCACATGCAGCTGCTGGTGTGACCTTGGGTCAGTTACAAGTTCATTCGGAGCTGTTCTCTCAAGGGCAATCCTTGAAAGAGCTCTTTCAGCCCCACCTACCTCTCAGGGTGTCTGTTGTGGGGAAGGGAAGGGAAAGGAGATTGTAAGCTGCTCTGAATCTCCTTTGAGTAGTGAAAGGTGGGGTATAAATCCAATTTCATCCAGCCAGTTTGGTGTAGTGGTTAAGTGCGCGGACTCTAATCTGGTAGACCAGGGTTTGATTCCCCACTCCTCCACTTGCACCTGGCTGGATGACCTTGGGCAAGCCGTAGCTCTGATAAGAGCTGTTCTTGAAAAAGAGCAGTTTCTGTCAGAGCTCTCTCATCCCCACCTACCTCACGGGGTGTCTGTTGTGGGGAGGGGAAGGGAAAGGAGTTTGTAAACCACTCTGAGACACCTTTGGGTAGTGAAGGACGGGGTATAAATCCAAACTCTTCTTCTTCATGGGAAAATGCGCTTTGGAGTTTTAGAACAAGAACAAAGAGAGCCAGGATTAAAGCCTACGTCCACCTTGACCCCCTTACTCACCTGGGGCAGGGGTCCAATTCCTCTCAAACTCAGCAACCAAATTTTCATTAAAACTGCATGTAGAATTATTTCATTTATGTTGTTTATCATCTGCCTTTCTCACTTGGACTCGAGGTGGATTACAGCGAGAGGGTCGATACAGTGGATGGATGGTCCAGCAGTGGGGCCAGGACACCAGAAGCCCTCCCACTGTTGCCCCCCCCAGGCACTGAGAATACACAGCATCACTTGCCCCAGACTGAGAGTTCCTATCTATACCTTGCGGCTAATCGCTACCGATGGACCTCTTCATATGTTTATCCAATCCCCCCTTGAAGCCGTCCATGCTTGTAGCCGCCACCATCTCCTGTGGCAGTGAATTCCATGTGTTAATCACTCTTTGGGTGAAGAAGGACTTCCTTTCATCTGCTCTAACCCAACCACTCAGCAATTTCATGGAGTGCCCACTGAGTTCTTGTCTTGTGAGAAAGGGAGAAAAGGACTTCTCTCTCCACCTGCTCTATCCCATGCATAACCTTGTAAACCTCGATCATGTCCCCCCTCAGCTGTCGTTTCTCCAAGCTAAAGAGCCCCAAGCGTTTTAACCTTTCTTCCTAGGGAAAGTGTTACAACCCTTTTATCAGTCTAGTTGCCCTTTTCTTGGCCCACCAGCAACCTCTGGGGGAGCACACCTTGCTTACACCAGTCTGTGGTGACTAACCTTTAACCTTTCTTCCTAGGGAAAGTGTTACAACCCTTTTATCAGTCTAGTTGCCCTTTTCTTGGCCCACCAGCAACCTCTGGGGGAGCACACCTTGCTTACACCAGTTCATGGTGACTAAGGGTGGGGAGGGGGTGGGGTAAGGGGGCAGTTGCCAGCTCTGCCCCCGTAGGATTAACAACAGGTTCAATATTTTTATCAATGATCTGGATGAAGGGGTAGAAGGGATACTCATTAAATTTGCTGATGATACCCAGTTGGGAGGAGCAGCCAACACCCAAGAAGATAAGAGTTAAAATTCAATGAGACCTGAATACTCTGGAGAAGTGGGCAGTTGCAAACAGGATGCAATTCAACAAAGATAAATGGATAGTATTACATCTGGGCTACAAAAATGTCAAGCACAAATACTGGATGGAGGATACCTTTCTGGGGAGTGGTGTATGCGAAAGAGATCTTGGGGTAAGGGTGGACTGTAAACTAAATATGACCAGTCAGTGTGATGCGGTGGCAAAAAAGGCAAATTCAGTCTTGGGTTGTATTTAAAGGGCCATAGCATTGAAATCGCAGGAGGTCATAGCCCCCCTGTATACTGCCTTGGTCAAGCCATACCTGGAGTACTGTGTGCAGTTCTGGAGGCCTCACTTCAAAAAGGATGTGGACAAAATCGAGAGGGTGCAGAAGAGAGCGAGGAGGATGATCAGAAATCTGGAGACTGAGCCCTACGAGGAAAGGCTAAGGGCCCTGGGAATGTTTAGTTTGGAGAAGAGGAGATTGAGGGGGGGACATGATTGCTGTCTTTAAATATTCGAAAGGCTGTCATTTGGGGGAGGGCAAGGAGCTGTTCCAGTCAGCAGTGGAGGAGAGGACCCGAAGCAACGAGTTTAAATTGCAGAAAGGTATTGGCTGGATATTAGGAAACACTTTTTCACAGTCAGAGTGGTTCAAAGGTGGAATCAGCTTCCGAGGGAGGCGGTGAGCTCCCCTTGACTGACAGCTTCCAAGAAGAGGCTGGGCGAATATCTGTCAGAGATGCTTTAGGCTGGTCCTGCATTGGGCAGGGGGTTGGACTAGATGGTCTGTGTAGCCCCTTCCAACTCTAGGATTCTGTGATTCTACTTGACAGGTGGCAAGCTGGCATCACCAGGCCTCGGATATTTGTTCTTCTAGCAGCCAGCTTCTTGTGACAGGTAACTTTACGGCTTCTCTTCCTTGCTTGCAGGCCATAGTTTTGACACTGGCCCCCACCCCCACCCCCCGCGCGCTATTGCTCTTCCTCCTCACAGAAGCTCAGCACAAGCGGAAATGTAGGATCGGAATAGTTGGAACCTAGGTTCGGAATACTTATAACGGAGGGCTACTGTTCAGGTTAGGTTTCAGTCCAAATGTTAAAGGAGTTTG